TGTCTGGCTGTGTGCTGCATGTGCGCGCAGAACCCGTCAGCGTCATCCTTCCCCCCCTTCTCTCTTTCTCTCGCAGCAGCAGCAACAGCAGCAGCAGCAGCAGCAACAGCAGCAGCAGGAGCAGCGGGAGTAGCTGCAGCAGTTGTAGCTGAGGTGTATCGACAGCCTCAGTTGCTGCCCCCAACGCAGTGAATGCCTACAGCCGGCGGGGAGACGAGCAATGCCTGAACCTTAATCTCTTGCGTTGCTGCCTCTTTGCAGCAGCAGCAGCAGCAACAGCAGCAGCAGCAGCAGCAGCAGCAGCAGCAGCAGATACTCTTGAGTTCTACGCGGAGTGCTGTCTCCTTGGCAGCTGGGTGGGTGTCTCCTGTCCCCTCAGGGTTTGCGTGCTGCTGCACTGAGTAATGTCGAAGCAGCAGCAGCAGCAGCTGCAGCAGCAGCAGATGCTGCTGCAGCAGCAAGCAATGGATGAGGGAGACACAACACCACCAGCTTCTCCTGTGGACTGTGTAGATATGGATCAGCAGCACCCGCAGCAGCAGCAGCAGCAGCAGCAGCAGCAGCAGCAGAATGTCAGCCGTCGTCCAATGGGTTTATCTGCTTCTGCCCCTATGTCTCCTTCTCCTTCTCCCCCTCACTACCACCAGCAGCAGCAGCAGCAGCAGCAGCAGCAGCAGCAGCAGCAGCAGCAGCCTGATTACTCATTGAAGTCTATTCCTCCTCCATCTCCATGGGAGTTGGATTTTGCAGTGCCAGATTTTCTCGCTCGTTTCGGTAGCAAGAGCAGCAACAGCAGCAGCAGCAGCAGCAGCAGCAGCAGCAGCAGCATAGGTAGCAGCGGTAGTATGAATAGCGGCAGCAGCAGCGGTGATGACGGTATAGATCCAGCAACAGGAGAGATGATTGCGGTGTATAGTGAGTGGAAGGAGACAGCTGCTGTGCGCTTCAGGCTGATGATACACCCGGTGTCTCCTTTTGATGGGGGCCCCAGGGTGAGGAGACACCTGGGTTTGTTTGTGGAGACAGGGGCGAAGAGAGATTTCCCTATAGATTGGGCCTTTCAGCATGGTCTCCGTTTTTATATTTATATATTAAACCCCTTTGATTATAAACAAAGTCTATATAAACAAGACAGCTACCACTTTGCTGCTGCTGACCCAGACAGGGGGTGGCACCACTTCGTCTCTCACCAGGAGCTGCAGCAAGATAACTTCTTTGGGGGCCCAACCCGAACCACTCTCTTCTTTAGAGCTGGCTGTGTTCCTCTATCTGCTGCTGTTGCTAGGAGGATACGTACACCCTGTCCCCCGCCTCCTCCCCCTCCTGCTGTTGCTGATGATGCTGATGCTGATACTGACGCTGCTGCTGCTGCTGCTGCTGCAGCAGCAGCAGAACAAACATCCGCAGTCAAACGCCAGCTCCAGCAGCAACAGCAGCAGCAGCAGCAGCAGCAG